CCGCGGGTTCGAGACCCGCCTGGGCAACTTGGTGAGACCTCATCTCTACAATAAATCAAAAATCAGCTGGGCGTGTTAGCGCGTGCCTGTAATTCCAGCTACTTGGAAGGCTGAGGCGGAAGAATCACTGGAACCCAGCAAGTCGAGGCTGCACTCCAGTCTGGGCAACAGAGTAAGACTCCAACTCAAAAAAATAAATAAATAAAAATAAATAAATAAATAAATAACCAAAAAACACGTACATGAATGTTCTTAACAGCATTATTTATAACAGCTACAAAGTGGGAATGATCCACATCCATAAACTGATGAATGGATAAACAAAATGCAATATACTCATAAATGGAATATTATTTGGTAATTAAAAGGAATGAAATACTAACACATGCTACAACATGAACTTTGGAAACATTGTAAGTGATAAAAAGCTAGGACAAAGCATCACACAAATATTCACATATTGTATGATTCCACTTAAAATTCTAAAATTGATTGTGGTTGCATGACTCTGAATATACTAGAAAACCAATATACAATGATATGAGAATTGTATCTCAACAAAACTATTAACCTATCAATAACAAAAAGGTTGCCACATACCCTGGGCCTGAGGGTCCCAAATGCTCTCTGTCCAGTGAGTTGGGATCCGGAGAGTGGACACTTGTGCTGTTACTTTCTGGTTGTGCAGTTGTGGTCAAGTGATTAAACTGACTGGCTTCTAGTTCCTTATCTATAAAGTGGGGGAGGCGGGTGAGCTAGAAGATTTCTAAAGACACTTCTAGCTCTAAAATTCTCAGTTTGTTTGTGGGATAAATGAATTCAGAGCTCATAGCCAAAGAATGATTTAATCTGAAATACAAGGCTGCAAGAAGTTGATAAAGTCTCCCAAAACTTCAAGAATTTAACAAGGTGGGGAAATCCATTATTCTCTAGCCAAATTAAGACCAGATAAAAGCGTAGTAAGTTTAGGGGAGTAAAGGCGACTCCTCAGTGCCTGTGTCTCTTTCTCCCAATGCTGGATGACCACATGCTTTGCTCTGGTGAGGTCCAGAGTGAGTTTCATCTCTAAAATCAGTCTCATTTCCCTCACAGCTTTGCTTACATGGTGCTCACTGCCTGTAATGTCTCCTCTTCCAACCTGTAGAACACTTCCCGTCCTTTCAGTCTTTTTTTTTTTTTTTTGAGTTATAGTCTCACTCTGTCACCCAGACTGGAGTGCAGGGG